TGCATTGTCTTAATTAAGACCATATTTTAAAGTCTTCATGTTTATACTTAAATGTTTTTAAAATGTTATTGTTCAACATAAATAGCCTTTTTGATTAGTTTGCTTTACTTCTGTTGGGTTTTGATAAGATAGACCTTTATTGCTTCATTATATAGTACCTCAAATAAAGACACACACACAGTTTGTACGTAGATCAAACAAGCTGAATTATGGACAATAATTTGTAAGAAAATATTTTATTAACATCTCCACTTGCTAAACTCAGTCTGTTTTCTTAAAAAAAACACAAGTATACAAGTATCCACTAAGGTCACATTGGAATATGTGGTGCATCCATTCTTCATACTTCAGTCATGAAAGTACTGCCTGATAAAGATTAACAATTTGTGCATGTATAGTTTCCATATGTTCATCAGGATGCCTCGTCAGCCAGATCATATTGGTCAAAATACCTGTTAGGTGGGAAGAAAAAAAATCCATGAATATTAGTAAAATCTTCAGAAAAATCTTGAACAAATGTATCAAAGAAAGGCAGAATTTCACTGTATAGCTTGTCTAAATTTCCATTTAGTTGAATAGTAGTATGAGAATTAGACTATTTTAATTACTCTTCAGATGCCTTTCAATGCAGGATACCCTGAATTGATCTTTGCATAGAATCAGAGCATGTGATTCAAGGCCTAGTATTTGAAGCTAAGACAGCATGGAGACCTTATAAAAGATGGTACCATCATTATTGAATTTGATTATGCAATTTTAAGCTCTCGTCTCTTTACAATACACAATATTGAATGAGGAGACATGAGAAAGGTACTGGTGAAATCAGAGAAAGAGAAATGAGATGACTATATATTAGTAGTTGTCAATGAATGTTGTAATATTATGTAACATAATCAACAATTTACTTTTTAAGTCTATGGAAAGAAACAAAATATAGAATTGGGTAAAAATTACAAATTATTGCAAAACAAGGCTCATGTAAGTAATGGTGCAGACTCTTGAAGACAATGGTGAAGAGATTGATTTTCTTTAATAGCCAACTTAGTATAGTAATTAAAATAATTTGCCGTACCTTCCAACCAAACAAATCAATAAGTTTAGAGCAGACACTTTTTCATCATTCTTGTTCTCCTGCGTTAAGAGGGAAGAAAAGCATTTAAGTAGTTTGTTTCACCAAATTTCAAGCAATTGTTTTATATCAACAACTATTACGAATTTCCAACAAATTACAATGGATTTTGGTAACTGATTGATAGTGCTACTAAATATATTTGTAGAAAACACAACTCTTTTGGATATTCATTATATTCATCAAAGAGTGTAAACAACGCCACATTTTGAACATTTAGTATAACTGGTATTGCCCTTTTCTCAAGTTTTGACTATCATTCTGAAATATCAACTTAAGTTAAGAATGTACATATTTCAGGGAAATAATGGCTTCAAACGATTAGCATGATCAGGATTTTCTAGTATTCCCCTTCAATGATTAACTAGTTCAGCTTACCTCCAGTACTCTCACCTCAGAGCATTTCCTAGCCAGTTGTCGAATTAGAGAGTGAGCCTCTGGTAATAATGGCTTCTCCAGACAAGCTAACAAAGCATAAAGCCATCTGCCCTAGAGAAATTTTAAGAAATTGCAATAAGAATTTAAAGATAAAACCATCTTTGCATTGTTTCTTTGTAACTCCATGAACACATCCATGTCAGTTTCTTGGCAACAATGCAAATAATTTCCCTTGCCACCTGGTTTTTTTTTTGGGGGGGGGGCACTATTGTCTAGTTTTCTACTTTTCAGTACAGATTTGGGATTTCTTAATGATCCATGCTTCAAGCAATAATTAGGTTCAGTCTGGCTATTAAAGTTTTTTAAATGAGATTATAAGAAACCACTAAACTTTATTTAGAGGAAAAAATAGATTCATTGTTCGTTTTTGAAGGCATGGTGAGAAGACTACAGATAATTAGGTACAAATTATGTATTTCTTAGATCAAAATCAATTAATGCAGATATTTAATAGGGCTTATAGATGAAGGACCAGTCTTTTCAGAATCTGGGAATGGCTGCACAAGGCCTGTACACATTTTAAAAAACCTTACAGTAATGGTTTATGAAGCTTTGTGTGAAAATGGCAAATCAAAGATTTCACACGAGAACTATAATATTTTGCATTTGATTGTTCAAAATATTTAATGAGAAGGACTGAGAGAAACCAATTCAGGTGCAGTGGGTGCTGACTTGCTATTCTTTTTATAGACTTGTGTATAGCATGAACTGTAGGAAATAAAATATGCTTTAGTGATGTAACAAACAGATTTTAAAAGTTAGTTTTAGAAGTGTAATTTAAAATTTACAGGTTTTTATACAACTAGGGCATTGAATTTATATTAAAGGAATATACTATGAACTGAAGGCAATTCAAAATTCTAAAAGAGCCAATTCAAATCACTCACCCTAGGGGGACATAGCCTTTTTATAACTTTACTAAAAGCCAGAAAAATACTTATATTGACAATTCCAGATTCAAAAAAATTATAAACAAATAAATGAGTTTCCTTCAATTTTAATTTCAATGGGGACAATGCCTCTTATAACATAAAACTGCAAATTACCAGTTCTGGAGTAAATTCTTTTTCCACCAGCCAGTTTGTCAAGTATTCCAAGACACTGGTCACTGTTGCCTTTTGGGATAGAGAAACAGCTGTTAAAATTTTGCATGCTGGTTCTTTCCTAGGGCACTGGGCAGATTTATAATTAGGTATTCTATACAAATGCTATAAGAATTCAATATATGAGTAATTACTACAAAAAATATTTTACAGTCTTATGAAATAGTTGCTGAAACAGCTTGTCCTAAAAAGAATTTTTAAAATTAAGCAAGATAGTATAATGAAAATACATAGTTTTTATATATTAAAAAAACACTAAAGATCCACTAAGATTATATACAAAATCAAAACTGCTTTTACCCCTTCTATTAATCTACTGTTTTGTTTAAATCTTTTTATAATACTGTCTCATCTAGTGAATGTTACTGGATTTTTTTGGATTATAGGCTCCCCTAATCATTTTTTTAATGTTCACAGCAAAATAGAAAATTGTTTTGCTGCAAGTAAAAGGAGCTCAGGTAAACTTATATAAAAGTGGAAATAACTGTATGTATGCCACCAACTGATTCCTATTAGGATACTTTCCATTATAATTATTAGTAGGAGACCTGAGGCCAGAAAACAGTTCTTCTCCATTGTACAGCCTATATTACAGAACAGCCTCTCTTCAGTTAGAATTTTCCCTCAGTGGGAATTTTCCAGAAGCTCTTCAAGGCACAACTCATCTGGAGAATCTCTAAGAAATGGTTATTTGCTGCCTGTATGTTATTTATGAGCTTTTGTACTATAGGCTTGTTCTTATAGTGTACTGCTTTCTGTTATTCTTAACTGTAAAATTTTAATTTGTTGTCATCTGTCGTAAGTGTAGAAAATTCAAACATATACATTAAAACAACCAGTATATATCTGAATAGATGATAGAGGAGCTATAAAAATTTGGCCATTACAACAAGGCAAATATTACTTTACTGAACTCTCTGAAATTCCTCATGCGTTATTAGCTGCAGTTTAGCAGGTCAAAAAGGGAAACGGAGAATGCTTTGTGCTTCTCCATCTTTTCTGGGCCTTTAAAAATATCTTTTACTAGAAAACAATTTAGATCTAACATATTTAAAACATACTTATCACTATTTTAAGGCTAAGAATCTTTAGGATTTTTTAGACCTTGAGCAATATATTTCTATTTGGGATTACAGGTAGTCCTTGATTTACAACCATTTGTTTAATGGCCATTTGATGTTACAATGGCATAGAAAAAAGTGATTTACAACAATTTTTCACGCTTGTGACCATTGCAGCATATCCATGGTCATCTGATCAAAATTCAGGTGCTTGGCATTTGGTTCATATTTAGGACGGTTGCAATGTCCTTTTACGACTCCCTGACGAGCAAAGTCAATGGAAAGTCAGAGTCGCTTAATAATTGTAGCAAGAAAGGTCATAAAATGAGGCAAAACTAACAACTATCTCACTTAGCAACATAAATTTTAGGGTCAATTATGATTGTAAGGCGAGGACTACCTGTATCCAAGTTCAGGTGTTTCAAGCAAGCTATGGATGGAGGTAGGAAAAAAAGGTTAAGCTGGATTCACCACACCAAGACTGAATGGAAATGAAACCGACAATAAAAGTAAAGTACCTGATTCATTCTGCTAACAATGCTCAACAATGGAGGAAAGCCAATCTGAATGAAAAGAAACCAAAACATGTTGGATTTTTAAAAATGGTTGGATAACTAAATACTTAGGTTAATTTTAGATCTGAATACTAGTGCACAATTTTTTTAGGAGAGATTGTATAGATATTTCAAACGTCTAGAGCTTTGTTAAACTATATTTCATTTATTGAAAACATTTACATAGCTGCCCGTTTTATATCAAATTCTGTGTGGCTTCCATAATGTAATTAAACTCTAGAAATATATGCAACAATGATCATTTGCTTCTCTTGAAGCTTACATTTCTAAAACCAGTTCTTAATATTTATTTATCTAACCATTAGAGCCCACTTTTCTAATGTATATTCATAGCCATGTTCCCCACAAGTAAAACCAGTACATAGTTAAACTCATTTGAAAGAGAAATTTAAAAAAATCTCCAATACAGTAATCTTCCTCTTCTTAGTAATAAGTTTTCTAAAAGGGTTCCCAGGATAGTGTGGCCATTGGGAAGACCTGTTTAACCCTACCAAATGTTCCTCTAGTATCACTGGGATTCTGAATATTTTTCTATTATATATATATATAAACAATATTCCAGTTATATGCAACAACAGAACAGACCCATTTTGTTGGACAAGGGATTATATTGTAAATATTTTAAGGCTGATCATATGTACAACAAAATGCAAACTCTGGATCAAAATATAGCTATTTAAAGGTGAAATAATTCTTTAGGACAGATTTAACACTCACCTGTACATAATCAATTCCTGGACTTTCATCCCTTGAGATTTGATCTGTTAACTCTAAATACAACTTTTCACCTAAGCAGAATTTTTTCCAACCTTCTTCATCATCTGTTGTGGGCTGAACAATTGGGAAAAAAGTTATTTTTCCTATTAAATATATTGATTTAGGTTTGTTTCCCCCCCAATGTATTTTCATTTATTCAAGGTTCTGCAGTCTTTATTTTTTATTTAAAGTAGTTAATGCATGGTTGATGCAGGAGATCCAGGGCTAGGCTGGCTTGATATAAGCAGCAGCAGGAGCCACCCACAATGATAGAGGATGGGAAGGAGGCTACCAGAGGAAAAAGTTTCATGATTTTTAGCTGAAGAACGCTGTCAATGCATATATAAAGGCCTACACATGAAACAAATATAACTACTGAACTCTTATTTGAGTCTGAATGTGTAGGGTTGCAAGGCATCAAGGTAGAAACTAGGAACTGAGTTCTAATCCTGTCTTAAGCACAAAGACAATTGGGGAACCTTGGGCTATTCACTCTTAGTCCTAGGAAGGAGGCAGTGGAAAAGCACTTCCGAAAAATCTTGCCAAAAAAACCTTTATGGACTTCACCGAGAATCTGATATAATTGAACAGAAGAAAAAAAAGCTTATATGTAAATTTACAGTATCCTGAAAATATTATGATTACTTGCCATTGTTACATTGCTGTCCAAATGCTGTGCTTTCCAGTGATCCCTGTGCTTGTTCACACTCTGAAAGATAAACTTTTGATCAATTAAAAGATTCTAATTAACAAACATTTTATTACTTTAACATATACTTGCAGGTGGTAGACACTATACATGGAAACAATATTCTTCTCACATACAACAAAAATACCTCTTCTGTGATTATGCTTGCTGAACTATTCACTTGGATTGATAAACATTCCTTTCTCCTTTAGAGTGGCTATTCTTAGCCCTATGAAGATTTAACTAATTCCTTAATTTATGCAATCAATTAAATTTAAATCAGATTTCAATCCTATTATTAAATAGTATTCAACAGGGAGGGCATGCACCAAATAAGCACTGTCATAAGAAACACTCAAAATCACTGAATTTATATACTTCTACATATGTATATATGTATACCTGGCGTATGGTTGAAAAATGAGACACTTGTTGCTGTTGCCATTTCAGAGTTGGAGAGTATCCTTCAGGAGCAGGTTGACACCCTGAAAGCTAAAAAAAACCACAGGCAACACAATGAGAATATTAAGAATGTCATGTTATTCGCATATACACAAAGATTTTTTTTTAAAGCAGAACTACCTACAATGAAGGATTGCACTGTAAAGATAAAATAATTTGCATAAATGGCAAAAATGATGTTTGATTATGGAGAAAACAAGTACTTTTCTAAAGTACTGGAAACACTTTATTAATTTTTTTTATTGAAAATGGATAAGAATGCCTTGATGATTTTTGAATTAGCTGATTGAAAAGAATCAAATATGGGAAGAAGTGAATTATGTGATGTAATAGGGAGAGCAGTGATATTAAGTATGCTGGTAACTGCTGTAAAAAAGATCAGAAGTTGCTTCTTTAAATATTTTTCTTTTTCTTATTCTTTTTACTGCATTTTAAATCTTTCTTAAACAGAAAAAAATATAAAAAATAGAATCATCTTCTGTTTAAAAATTCTAATGGTAATAATAAAAGAATGTCATATGCAATTTTAAAACAGCCGCTTCCATTTTGTAGAACTAGCCACATGCAGATGGATTATGTAGTGCTTAATTACAAAATTGGCAATCTCTTAAAAGTATTGTACTGTTAACATCCAATCATCACGAACAGTATACTTGTATTTTATAATGCTTATAATAATGATTTTTTTAAAAACCTACTGAAATATTTACAGTCTGCTTCTTTTTCAGTTTCTTGGGATCAATCTGGGCCACAACAACATCAGGACATTTTGCAGCTTCAATCCTACAGAATTAAAATGTTTCAAATTTTAAGCACCTTTTAATTTCTAATTAAACCTAATTTAGGAATTAAAGAATTAAACCTGGAAAACCCTAAAAATCATTCCAGCTTTGTCTGAGTTTTTCAAAATGAGACAGAATGTGGGATTGTTACATATCAAATGTAAAAATCCATTCTAATGGATTGCAGTCTGAACAAAACTAGGCTACATGATGTATTCTTTGAAATGCTGCCATAATGAATTTAGTTTTAAAATTAATTTGGATTCACAGCACAATGCAGAAATGTTTCAGGTGTTTTCCATTCCATTTAATCCAACACTGCAGATCATTTAATTATACTGGGTCTGCTTGTCTTATTTATCATTTGGATAGGAGGCAGGAACCAATATTAGTAGAGTTTTAAAAAACCGAATTGGTAAAACCCAAAGAAATCACTATGAAAAGGACAATATGAATGGATTCAAAGCCACATTTCAGTATTATCCTTCCTTATAGCTAAAAGTCTGTAGAAATTCTCAGTCATCCAAGGTCATGGTTGCTCCAAAGATGCTTTTTCAGGAGGCAACGGGACTGTCTTTTTTTTTCTTTTGAAGACTTTCCCTTCTCATCCAAGAAGCTTCTGCAGTTCTGACAGGATAGTGGAGAATGGAAAGATTTATATTCCTTGCAGATAGCTGGTAACTACATCCTTTTAGAGGGTTATTGAAGCACTTGGAGGTTTATCTGGGTCCTTGGGGTTACTTGAATAATGCTCCTGGTTCCTGTAGTCTGCAATTTTTCTCTGGAAATCCATTCCTACTCTCACACCACTCAAAGGGTGGAAACAGGAGCACTACTCAGGCTCAGACAGAGGACATAGATAAACCTCCAAGTGCTTCAACGACCCTCTAAAAGGATGCAGATTACCAGCTGTCTGCAAGGAATATACGGTAAATCCTTCCATTCCCTACTATCCTGTCAGAGCTGAAGAAGCTTCTGGGATGAGAAGCGAAACATCTTCAAAAGAAAAGAAAACAAGAAAGTCCAGTTGTCTCCTGAAAAAGCACCTTTGGGACCTCATTCCTTTTTCATGCAGGAAATCCCACCACCATAAAAGCAAACCGCCATATTGCATTACCCGTAGCAAGACTATATAACCAGGCGAGTCTCTGAAGTACTTTGAACCGTTCATCATTATAGACCAAACGCTTTTACTTCCATGCAAGCCGCATAGGAGTAAATATAAATATAGCGCCAAGTTGACCACATCCAACTTCGCCCACTCAACCAAGCGCAGTCCTATCCCCAACCCGCCTCCTCCCCCTCCCACGGCGGGAGCCACCCCCTCCCCCCCCAGTTCACTTACTGGACCCGCTTTAAGTACTCCTGGGGAGTTCGGGGGGGCACCGTGGGGTCGAAGTCTTCCGCGAGGTCGCAGTCCTCTACGGGTAAGAGGCGGGGCATCAACTCCTCCACCACAGACTCCATCGAAACGCTCGAAGCGCGCCGCGGCCTCGCCCAGCACTGGCAATGCTCACGCGCAGAGACACCCGACGCTCCTGGCGGCGCCACGGTTGAGCCTGGCGGGTGAAACCAAGCGAGTGCGCACGCGCGTATTTTATTTTTATTTTTATTTTTATTTTTTACGCTTGTCTGAGGGGGACGGATCAGAGCGGCGAGCGGGTCGTTTTGTTCTTCAACTCGGAGAGGCGTTTTCTTTTATGTTTGGAAGCTTTTTCTGTTTGCGGTTCTATCTCTAACGAGTGGAATTTCCTCAAGGGAGGTTGTGTAAATCAATTACAGGTAGTTCTCAATTTATGAAAATAATTGAGACCAGCTAAGCGAGACATTGATTGCCAAAGGGCGACCCCAGGACACTGCAACGGTCATAAATATGAGTCGGGCGCCAAACGGCTGAATTTTGATCACGTGACCATGGGGATGCTGCAATGGTCACAAGCATGAAAAACGGTCATGTCACTGTTTTCAGTGCTGTTGTAACTTTGAACGGTCACTAAATGTACTGTTGTAAGTTGAGCACTACCTTTACATTCACACTTGTTCGTTTGAAGGGTATTTCTATACCGGAACTTTTACAGTAGTTTCCGAGGGAGAGGGGGGGCCCATTGTAACCTGGATTGTAAGGCAAAGTCCCATGATGTGACCAGGGCAGCATCACAATTCAGCTGTTAAGACCAGGATTTGAAGAGACTGCATGTCAGTCCTCACAAATAGCTTGAATCCATATATCCACAGCCTAGTTCTGTTTATAGGCTTATGAAGATGCAGGAAAAATGCTAAATGAAACATTTTTCAGAAGCAATGCTGAAGTAAAATATTACAAGAGCTTTTATTTATTTATTGAATTTGTTTCCCCATCTCACCACAAGACGGCTGTGCTGTTCATTTTAATGCTTCTCCCCCATCTCAAAATGTTTAATTGACAGTTATGCCAAAGGACTCCTGAAAAGCAAACAATGGCCTCCAATATTAGTAAGGTTTAAAGAAAAGCAGAAACTTTAAGTTGCTGTTTTGGGGTGAAACATCACACTGAACCTAGGATCTTCCAACTCCACATCCCACAGCAATGCTTGTTAGCACCCTGGGGGACACTTTCCAACCTATATGTAGAATGCTTCTATAAATAAAGGTACGGGAAAAAAATACATCACTGGAGATTTTTAAAAAGAGACTGGACAGCCATTTGCTTGAAATGGTTTCCTGCTCGAGCAGGGGGTTGGACTAGAAGACCTCCAAGATCTCTATCAATACTATGATTCATTGAGAAAACTTGTTCATACTGAAAGAATGAGAACTGCATAGGAAACCCAATACTGGAAGGGTGAATAGGCTGAGAGGAAAGAAAAGGCTAAGAAAATTGTGTTTGGATGGGGTTGATGAGAAAATGAAAGACGTAAAAAGTTTAGAAAGAAGCAGTGTATGAATACTGTAGAAGCAAAGATGGTTGCAATGATATTGCTGTAAGACAGTTTTAGTTATAATTCCTTTTTGTATCCAATACCTTTCATTCTTTATTATTTCTTTTTGTGTTCTGCATAACATTGGTTATTCTAAAATGTGATTAGCTTCGATATATGTGCACATATATGCTAGTATGGGTAGTAGCTGGGATAAGAGGCAATTTGATTTAGCAGGAGTGACTTTTGTTGTAGAATGACTAAACTGGATACTAATCTTGAATTCGAATTTTTTATATTAATTTGTTGTGTAAAAAACTACTCAAGGCAGGTTTGTAAATAACTGTTTATTCAGTCTATTTTAGAAACATCACTGCTATTCATTTTATTTTAAAAAATTATAAAAATACAGCTATATACATATTAGCATTCTCCATACCTGCTTACCTATGGAAAATTTCTACATTAGTAATACTATTCAGTAGACTGTCATCTTTAGAAAAAAGCATTAAGCTATGCACTGCAACAAAGTGCATTAAGTTCACATTAAAATGTTAACATCATGTATATCTACTATAAATCTAAAATATGATCAAAATTATTTTAAGAGATAATATGCGACAGGGGTTAAATTCATCACTACAGATGTTAAATCAAGGCTGATGAAGCTCTGTCTTTTAGCTGTGGATGAATTTTAACTCCCAGCATAAAAGCATAGCAATATTAAAGGATGTTAGGAGCTACAATGCAGATAGTCCTCGACTTAAAACAGTTCATTTAATAACTGTTCAAAGTTACAACAGCACTAAAAAAGTGACTTACGACTATTTTTCAAACTTACGACCATTGCAGCATCCTCATGGATACATGATCAAGTCAAATGCTTGGCTACTTTTTATGAACATTGCAGTGTCCTAGAATCATGTGATCACATTTTTCGATCTTCTGGCAAGCAGTAAATGGGGAAGCCGGATTAATTCAAAAACTGTGTTACTAATTTAACAACTACAGTGATTCATTTAACAACTGTGGCAAGAAAGGTCGTAAAAAGGGGCAAAATTCACTTAACAAATGTCTCAGCAGCATAATTATGGGGTCAATTATGGTCATAAGTCAAGGACTACCTGTAGAAGAACAGCTGAAGAGACGTAACTTTCTCAGAAGTTATAGGAAATAGTATAGAACTTTTTATTAAAATAGCAACAATGTTATATTGCACAATTCATAATTAGAATTGGTCTTAATTTCAAAAAGCCAATATAATAAATGTATTTAATTATTTTGGCTCCCCCGTCAGTGTTACTGGAAAGAATCTGTGTGAAAACCTAGCTACACCTATTTTAAAGTTCAAAATTGTCAGAATTTAACCACGTAATTCATTCAAATCTGACATCATTATGTGCATTTGTTTTGTTCTCATAAATAAAGTGAATACTAGATTCACAAATTCAAATCTCTTCAATATATATATTTATTTATTTGATGGGCTATATTAGACCCATTAGTAGTGTTATCACCAGTGCCTTGTTCATGAATTAGATAAAAACATTTGTTTATTATGGAACATAAACTATAATCTACAAAATGCATTTCCTACTGATTGAAGAAAACTGTACACTTAATCTGAAGTTACACATTAAAAGATACATATCTACAGCAGACTTCTGGTATCCTAGAAGACTGAACAATTTATTGATGGGAGGTAGATTGCAAATATAAGTAAAAACAGCTTTCCCTACTTAATACCTTCCAGGTGTGTTGGAATTACCACTTCAAAAATGCAGCTATCTTGAAGCCCAAATGCCAAGACATCCTGAAACTACCAGCTTGAAAGGATGGAATAAAGGTCTGAGACAAATGGTTAAGTAGTAGAACTTTCAATAACAAGTACAGGTAGTCCTCGACTTAGAACCATTTGTTTAGCAACTCTTTGAAATTACAATGATGCTGAAAAGGTAACTTACAATCAGTCCCTACAATCATGTGATTGCAATCTGGGTGTTTGGCAGTTGGCTTGCATTTGTAACAGCTGCAGTGTCCTGCAGTCATGTGCACACCATTTGCAACCTTCCTTGCCAGCTTCTGATAAGTCAATGGGGAAGCCTGCAGGAGACTGCAAGTCACAGTCATATGATGTTTCAGCAACTGATGGGAGATTTGCTTAACGATTTAATGAAAAAGGTTGTAAATTAGATGCAACCACCTGATGCCTCAGTTAACCATTTAATAATGAATTTTCCAGTCCCTATTATGATTCTAAGTTGAGGGTTACTTGCGTCAGAGTAAATAGCAATGGATAATCAGTTTTAAAAAAGAATTTTTAAAAAATGCTAGAATTGATTCTATAGGACAAGGCAGAAAGGAGTGCAAATCCGCTCAGCCCAAGTAGGCAGATGCACAAGATTAAATTCCTAAAACAAGTTGAGCGGGGTAGGTGGGGAGTTTGATCTACATCGTTAAATCAGTACCTATACCTCATGCATTGCCGTGATTTTTAACTATCTGTAAAACACTGATATCACAGCAAAAACGGTTTTTTTCCAAGTAATTAATTAGCCTGGATCTTAAAAATCCTACCTGGATTAAAGTATCCTCAGAGTGTACTATGAAAAATGGAATGAAGGCTTCCTGGGGTCAATGATATAAAGTAAAAAAACATCCAGTTTTCTTATCATTTCAGCAACATGTTACTGCATTTAGAATCTCTCTTGAATAATATGTACTGAAAATGTATTTTCCAAAGGAAGCATCCTAAGCTTTTAGAGCATTCTTCTTGATAGCTGAAATTGATGTTCATTATTGCCATCCAGTCTGGGGAAGATTTGCCTGCACTGAAAAAGGTGTTCCAGATGTTCCCGCTGCTGGGGGATATGCACTGAAACCTTCAGATTGAGAGCCATAGTTTTCTAGAGCAGAAGCAGAGTGTATCTTTAAAGAGACAAACAAGAAATTAATAGTATGACTACAAGCTGGATCCTTGGCCATTCCAAAATCCACATTTGCCAGCAAGGAAGGTAAAATACAACTCTCAGAAAATTTGATTCAGTGTTCCAGAATATGCAGATACAAGTTACATCACTTACATGTACCTGCACACATTTCACACTTAGTTCTTAATGGAAAAATTAATGGATGAAAATGTTTTATGATTTATACAGCCAAATAGTAGCAAGGGTATACTGATAGAATACAGTTACAACTATAATAAAAATGAGGTAATGAGATTTCACTTGGATGTTCAGAATCTGTTATCTCATACAGAGTAAAGTGTGACTTCTAGAGGTGTTGAATAGTTCCCAGAATTCCCAGTTAAAGGCCACATTGACAGAATTCCTCCAGCATATATGAAAGATGTTATCTTGGGAAAAGTTACATTAAAATTTATAACTACAATATCAGAAATTTGCAATTTAAAAAAATCTAAAATGCCTGATTTCATGCAACATTCCACACTTAATGCATCTCTATCAGGGGCAAGCGACTGTTGTTATGAAGGGCTTTTATTATAGGAAGGATTTCTGGAGGCTGATGATCTGACTATTTGACTCCAATCACCTACTGGAAATCCCTAAGAGATCCAGAAGGTACCTGGGGGTA